TGTGTAGTATTGCCTTCTATTCGATGTTCAATAAGGCTTTTTTTGATATTACTGGAACCACTGGTATTATTCATAAGATTATGGTGATATTGTTTACTGTAATGAGTTGCTCAGTTATAACGGCTAACATTGATCCATTTCAATATAACAAGATCAAACTATACTTCAATTTGATCGAAGTGATCATCTTCGTCACCTTAATGGTACTACTTATGCTTAACTTACGGAAGAAATGTGAACATAAAAAATATGCGATTATGGAAAAGAACCCAACCATTTTTGGATAGTCAGAGTAGACTATTCATTGTTTAATTAAGAAAATTGATTTAAATTAGTGTTTGCGTATTTTACTGCAAGGAATATCTATGCATAGATGCTATCATAGACAAGTATTGTTTCTCTGTGCGAAATTGAATCCTATTCAAGTCTGGTACTATCATCGATTTTATTCCACGTTTAAAGTTTCTGTTTCGACTATTCGTGTTGAATGTACTAACTGTAGCACGATTCATCGTTCAGGTGAGTGCAAATAGCAAGTAGACGTAAGATTCAATAGAGCATTGAATAACTGATTTTCACATGCAAGAAGAGAAAAAGTATCAGTGTTGTTTCGTATTCGGAAACAAGACGAAAGGCGATATCATATCATTAGACATAGGGCCTTTCTTTTATCCACAAGACGGGTTCAGATGTAAGGTGCAGATACTCAAAATGCCGTTGCTCTATGTCAACTGAAAGTATTCTCTAGGATAAGGCTGACAACTTCACTGACTTTCAACCCCAAACTCCAACTTCAGCTCCAACCCCTCTCAAAATTTTTCAACTTTAACTCCAACTCCGTCAATAAAAATCTCAACTTCGGTTACTTCACTTTTGTAAGGAAGATTTTTCGGTTTTTAGCAGGATTTTGGACGTTTTTGAGCTTTTTCCGGTCGTAAAGCGCAAAGAACTTCGAATTCACTAGTGAATGCAGCCACTCAATCGTTTAGAAGATCAGTTTTACAATCATTGAATATTTCCAAAAATGCAAAACGGAGTTGAGAATAAAAATTCAAAAACCCAACTCCATCCTCCTAATCTCAACTCCAACTCCACCGAAAAAATCCTCAACTCCGGAGTTGGAGTTGTCCAGCCCTGCTCTAGGATCAATGCCCGCCAGAGATGGGGAAGTCCAAGTCCGAACTGATGGACTTTTCTACACAGACTGGGACTGAAGGCGTACGAGACTTGGACTGAACTGAAGACATGAGAGACGTGGACTTGTTTTTGACAGATTTTTTTCACATTTGAGACTGAACTTTTCTTCGATCTAGAAATTCTTCTCAAGTAACTTTGTCATATAGAGCAAACATTTGTAAACAAAATGAGACGTCTTCGGGCTCTCTATGACACTTTTTCATAAAACACCATTCAATTTACGAAAAGCCCTAGAGGCGAAACTTTCTTGTTTGAGTCTTTCGTAAATTGAATAGTGTTTTATGAAAAAGTGTCACAGAGAGCCCAAAGACGTCTCATTTTGTTCACAAATGTTTGCTCTATATGATAAAGCTACTTGAGAAGTATTTCTAGATCGAAGAGAGGGGCTTGATTTTCTAAGATTTGGGTTTTCCAGAGACCCTGATTTCAGAAGTTCCGATGGAATCTTTATACATACCTCATCAGATTGAAAATTCTCTCAGCTGTACCAATCCTTTTCAAATTTGCTGTAGCTACCATAGTCGACGAGAAAAACGAAAAAGAATGATGAACGAATAACTTTTTGGACCCGCTGTATGTTTAACTTTTCTCATTCCTGTCAAATCCTTATGATCAAACATAATCCATCATAAATGAATACATCAGTTTGTAGAGAAGTGAAAGACCTTTAAAACAGACTATTTTAGAAAAATGATTATTTTTTGTTTTGGAAAAAAAGTTCGCCTAAATGATGTACGGGTCGCAGTTTTCTCTAGTTATACATGTTATGTCGAACTTAACGGCCTTTTGCAAACCAACGGAGATATTGTGAATACATCAGTTTGTAGAGAATTGAAAGAACTATAGAACAGGCTATTGCCCATCTCTGAGTAGCATGGATCCCATGGATTGATCCTCGAGAATAGTTTCAGTTGACATAAGCTCTGATAGTTAATCTTCGATATATACATGTAGGCAAACTTCAAATTTGTCTGACCAGTAGTCCAATTTTGCTTGTGACTACGGGTCTCAGTGGGTGATTTTAGTATATCTAGACAAGTTAAATGGATACTCTCGATGTTGTCGTGCCTCTTTTAAGTCAGAATAATACAACTGAACAAACAGAAAAGATTGACACAATCTTGTATATGAGATGAAAATAAAATGCAGTAGTCCAATTTTGCTTGTGACTAGACAAAACTTGAATCTAAAACTTGAATTTGGATTTTGCTTGAATAGAGAAAGTTAAGAATGGGTAGAACATAGAAAGTGACCTGTTTTCCAGATTGATTTTTTTCGTCCGATAGCGCAGATCATAAGCAGTTCGATAGTGGAGTACGGTCAAAAGTTGTGACAAGTCAGAGGCTACTGTAACAGTCTTTGATTTTCGCTCAAGTATGTGCTGTACGCAAACACGTAAGAGACAAAAAATGCATAAACAAACAGTCATCTGATATTTTTTGTTCTTATAGAACAGTTGTTTACTTGTGATAACAGGTCTTTTCTTTGGAAAGTGAAGCGAAAACGCTTCCGAAGAGAAAGAATACTCATGGAAACATAGAACTAAAGTGAGGGGTGTTTGAGTGATAAAGACAAAGAGTTTTTCGTTTTATTCTAATTTTAATTACATATACAAAAAACTGATCGGTTCGACTCGGTTTGAACTTCTGAAAAAAGAGGACGGTTCGGTTGCAGAAAAACACGAACCGATCCCATCTCTAGTTCAGAAAAGCCGCGAAGTAGAATATCACTAAGGCAAAATGTGAATTTTAAGTTGAAACCTAATAGAATATATCTATTTCAAAACCATGAAATGAAACGCCTGATATAGAAACCATGTCCGAAAATACCGCGAGGAATAAGCGTCCGAAAAATCACAACTCAAAATGCGCTAACTAATACGCGTTCGCACTCAAAGTCATTCAACTCGTATTTTGTTCACACAAAGTACAAACAATCCTAATAGGATCCTCTGTCAGACCACAAAGGATCCGACCAAATCCTACAATAAAATCAAATAATCAGGCAATAGATGTAGAAAATTCGATTAGCAAGAAAATAATTTTGTTGTCTTTCTGAACCAGAATACAACAAGAGCTAGGCCATGTAAGCCGCCACCCTCATTAGTGTTTTTCTTTCAATTAATCTAAAATAAAGACCTTAATTGGTTACTGCTCATGTAGAAATTTTGATCAACAATCAACAAAGAGAAAGATTTAAGTGTATTTGCGATGTTATATGCTTTTGATTTTCCCTTGATAAATCAGCAGAAAAATGTAAAACATCTGCTCGTATGAGACTTAGTATCTCAAATATGGGCGACTCGGTAAAATACTGTAGACTCGGTGGGGCGAATGAGAAATTTCATGCATTTTCTCGATCAGAGTAAAAACGCAATTATCTTTTTGATATTTATTGATTTTTAATCACTTTTTGGTACCATTCGATTTGTCTCGTCATGACAAACAGTGTATCAAACCTTAAAAAAGAATAATTAGAAACACCTGAGAATGAGTTAAAACAAGAGCGAAGTATAATAATAGCAAATTCCCAGCTCGTCCCACATGGGGCGAGTCGGAAATTATGTAGACATCGGTGGGGCGATTTAGTAATCTTTACTAAAACTAACAACAATTTTCAAAAAAAACTACAACCTAACTATATCTGGCGAGCAGTGATAGAAATAAAAAATCGTTTTTACCAATGAATAAAGACTAAACCCCCCCCATAATAGAAGACCATCCCCTAATAGAAGACCACTGCCGATTATATGACTTGAAAGCCAAATAGAAGACCAGTGGTCTTCTATTATGTCCGCAAAAAAAATTGGAAGGGGAATTTTCAAAAAAATTTCGCCAGAATGTACTTCTAATGGGGGACGGACTTCAAGTACGTGAGGTTACCGTTGGACTACTAACAGGCGACAAAATTTGACCGCAATAGAAGACCACCCTTTAGAACTTGACTTGAGAGACAAAATAGAAGACCAGGTGGTCTTCTATTATGGGGGGGAGGGGGTTTAGTCTCAGTTATTCAGTTTGCAAAGTAAAATAGATAATTATTAATCTGGAATGGTCTTATTTTTTATAAGAAGTTGATGATTATACTTTCAGGAAGTAGATTTTTACAGCTTTTATGTAGAGACTAATCTAATATGTATCTCGTATGTAAAGTAAATCCTGACTAGCTAATTCATAATAACAACAAAAAAACAAGAAAAACAGTTAATCGTACCAATAGGCTGTAAGCACTGCATTTTGGCTTTGATTTACTCAATATATATAGAGTAAATCAAATCAATACAGATATATTTATTTGACATTTCATCTCAAGAACAAATGGCGCCGGACAATCAGCTCTTATATATACACGAAAAGTTTCTCAGTCCAAAAAACATTTTACTTCTATTTATGTAGCTTATGGCGCCAAATCTGGCCTTAGTTTTGAAAAAAGAACGTGCATTGATCAATCTCCAATGTCGGGAGAATATCCTACCTTTTCCAGAACTTTTCTAGCTTTCGTAGTTCTCTGCATCACGAGGTGCACATTTTGCCTCAAAAAAGGACGAAAGAAAGAAGAAAATAAAAAACAAAAACCTCAGCAAAAACACATAATGTCTGTCGACATAATTATGCTGGCATGAATGTGAACGACTGTATACAATAAAAACATATAACGTTTGAGTATCTAGCACAATTCCAATATATCGTATGTAATGGATCAAATGGTGCTTCACATTGGCAACAATGTAATGATGACGATTGATCATTATTACCTGACGATGATGTTAAACAACTGCACTTGCATGCGTTTTTTGATAATAATCATGTAATATACGACGCCAGTCTGTTTTGACAATTTTTTAACGTATAAACATCTGATGGTTGTAATGCGTGTGTTGTATGAGGCGGTAATGTCAGTATATGAATATCATTATCTAAAGCTAAATTCATTGTTCGAAATGACAAATGGAAATAATGATTATCCATTACAAGAAGTAATGGTCTGTTAACAGATTTTGTCTGAGGAATAAACATTTTATTCATCCATGCAAAAAGGGAGGGTTCTTCCATCCACTCGCTTTCAGAAGTATTATATAGTGTACCACGGTAGTTCTGTTTTGAACATCAGGCATCGTACAAACGTATCCCTTTATGTACGATATACGGCGGAAGTCAGCTAGAAATGGAAACAGTAATAGCTACCTTGTGCAAGACAACAGAAAACTCTTACCGTCCGCAGGCCGAAGTGCACAGAAGAACCTGGTTTGAGATTTTCCTGAACTGCCATATATTAAATTAGGATGCTCTGTGTCACGTTTCACAACTGCAGATTTTCCACCTGGATCATCATTAAAACCACTCTCATCTACATTCCATATCTGCGCAGGTTTATTCATTAATTTTAATTTTGTTAGTATAAAGAGTAATTTACTAAATCACATATCAACGACATCTGTCGTTAAAGCATTGTCACCTACTTTTTCGAGTTTTATACGTTTCATAATAATCAAATCGTGTGATCATCGCTTTAGAAATGAGTAAAACCAGTCTTTAGTTGGGTAATTATCAGGTATTGTTCTCTCCAAATGTAACATATATAACCTTGATAATTTCAGCACGTATCATTGTGTCAAAGGATGATTTAATTCTTGCATTATTTTTATGGGTGTAACAAGGTATAGTTCTTCCACATTAGATAAAATGGTTTGTCCTCCAACTTTTTTAACAAATTTTGCTGCTAAATGATTATACAACGTAGTCAAGTTCTGGAAGAATTTATTCAACTACGATGGCTTTTCGCCTTTCTCTTCGGTTCATGGTTGATAAGTCTTTCAAATCAATTGCTCGCTGGTATAGATAAATGAAAAAGCTATTAGTTCAGCAGAGTTCATGCATCATTATATGTGAAACGTTCTATTTAAAGTTGGCATTTTAAGCTCGACATTTTCCTTTAGTTCTTTCTGTTTCTTTCGCCTTACCATATTCTGTTTTTCTAACAGAACTGTTCAACTTGCCTCAATCTACAGACAAAATCTTATTCCAGGGCCCAGTTGTGCGAGAAAGCGCATTTTTGCCGAGAAAATTCTTTTCTATATCTCAACGCTTGTTTGTGGGTTATTCTGCTTCTTGATTTTTATCATGAACAACTCATATACAAATTTCGAGGATAATAAATTAATTTTCTTGAAATTGTTACTTTTATGTTGCAATATCAGGAAATATCAACTACAAGATGGAACAGTTACCTGACGCATACTGATGGCGAGTGAGAATTTCAAATTTATTTTTTCAGTTTCAGAATGTTCAGACAATAACGATGAATACTTTGAACTGGGGGTGGGAGAGTTCTAATTCAGTTCTTGTTGAACAGGAACTGCTACTAGTTCTTTTCAAGAATTCAGAATCAAATAAAACTGACGAAACTACGTAGTTACATTGACTCTGTTTAGTCCATTAAACGCACCGTTTATCTTTAGCCCACTCAACAAAGTCGAAACTAGTTCGTTTTCACGGAATAACTATTTCATATCTTCCCGACCGTCATGAATAATCACTCTACCAGGCCAAAAGAAAGACTGTTTTGCCTAAAATAACTCTCACTGGTCGTATAAATCCCTCCCCATAATAGAAGACCATTCCCTGTTAGAAGACCACTGCCGATTATATGACTTGAAAGCCAAATAGAAGATCATGGTCTTCTATTATACCCGCCAAAAAAATCGGAAAATGCTCTATCTATAGGGCAATTTCAAAAACATTTCATCAAAATGTTCTTCTAATAGGGGATGGACTTCAAGTACGTGGGGATCACCGATGGACTGACTACTAGCAGGCGACAAAATTTGACCGCTATAGAAGGCAATCCTTTAGTACTCGACTTGCGGACAAAATAGAAGACCAGGTGGTCTTCTATTATGGGGGTGGGGTTACCTATAAAATATTATTGTCATCTATGACTGAATTCGATGATGACACAAGGTTTGGATCAATTGCGTTGAAATAAACGAAATATGCAACTGTTTTTGTTGAAATTTGAATTCAAGCTGTTTTAGCCTCAAATGTGATACTATCAAGCTAAATATAAAAGAAAGCATTGCTGGACGATTAAAGTACTAATAATCCAGTTTTAATTCTACATCGTAGTCAAATCCGGTTTTGTTTCCGAATATCTTCCATCATTTGCTCAAAATCAGTGTCATTTCTAGCAGACGTGGCGACTGGTGAATTTGGCAACATTATTATTCAAAAGAGCAAAGCATGAAGCTAACACAGCTAAACTAAGACAGAATACCTTGTTACAACATGGCAAAACAAGTTAAACGGTTCAGAAATTACATGCATTATTGCGAAGTCATTTTATGTGCATAAAGTCCAAAAACCTAGGAAAAACGACTTTTATTAAATAACCCATTTTTCTATAGTAGTCAGTACAAGAACGAAAACTGCGTATAAGGGTTTTCTCTTTTGTGCTGTGCAGCAAACGCCAATTGACATACTCTCCTTTTTCTAAAAACAAGGCAACGAGGAAGAATTTTCCGGAACAAATCATTAAGAATTAGCGTTGTTTTCTTATTTCTGCAATCTTTGTGTGACTTGTTATCCCATGCCTTTCTGACTTTGATACGATTTATGGTATGAAAAAGTAAGAAAATGTTTTAGATATTTAAAAAGCGATGAGGTAACACATAACTTACTCAAGGAAAAGTATTAACACTTCGCACAAAACAAATACATAAGAAAACATATAAGAAAAATTCCATCGGCAGTGCAATGTAGAAATTTTCCCATTTTTAACACTTTTCCTAAAAACAAATATTTCGGCGAGACTCAGCATGGTCGATTATCTCTAGTCCATCCGTCTTTAAGGCTACCAAAAGCCAAGAGTCACTGAGTTCCAGTCCTGGGACTCGTCAGAAATCCGATACAACGCCCGAACCGCAGAAAATCAAGGTCTTACTTTATTCCCATTTTGACGAGAACGCCTCGGACTACCAGCCCATGAGAAAAAATTAATACATTCCTGTGTAAATTTCGGAAAGCCCAAGCTAGTTTCCCAAAGATCCTCTAAAAAATCCGCTGCAGAAGTTTTTCCAAAATTCGCTTTTGCTTACAGAAATATGTGGTCAAGTGTCCAGTTTTCAAAACTGAAGACCGCATCAAAAGTTATTTATAAAACAACTACTAGCACCGTGTTCTTGAATGGATAGTAAAGTAAAGGTAAATTGCCACCCCTACCTAAAATACGTTTCCCGTAAAAGTGATATAAAAGATAATCACGTTGAAAACTTGAAACATCACCGTAAACAATTTGTATTTCATATGCAATTTGTCGTTGATTAATATCTTCAGATGAATTATGTGAAACAGAAATATCAAATAAATTCTATAATTTTTCATTATCATTTGCATAACGTTCAGCTAAATCGGATGAACTTGTAATAATATCACCTTTTTCACCTAGTAAACATTTTATTATCATAATTGTGGCAACAATTAAAGATTTTCCTTCACCAGTTGAAACTTGTGATAATAACTTTTTTTTATTAAAATTAAATGCAAAAATTGTTAATTTTTGTACATGACGAAGTGATTTTATTTCTGAATAGTAAATTTTTGTTCCCTGTTCAATTACGGCTAATAATTTTGGTAAACATTTTTGTTTCTCTTCAATATTTTCTAATTTATTAAATTCAATTAGCCATTTTTTAATATCATCAATTGTTAAATTTCTATCGGAAAATTCTTTTACTTGTTTTAGAAATAATTTCAATTCATTTAATTCATTTTTTATTGCTGTACTTTTATCTTTATTTATTATTATTTCAATTAATTTTTATTAATTCACGTTCATCTTCTTTTAGTTATTCATCATCAAATTCCCACATACCAGAATAAAATTTAGATATAATATTTAAAATTTCATCAATTTTAAAATGAGCTTTTTCTTTGAAAATTTTCAATAATTCATTTTTACTATTGAGTGCATATAAATAATAAATAATATTTGAAAATGTTTGATGAAATTTTTCTGTTTGATTATTTTTCCTATCCATTTGAATTATATTGTATACATTTTTAATGAACATAAAATGTTTAAATTTCATTGACCATGGATTTTAATTGTAAATTAACTAATAAATTTTTTTATTTTCTTCATTTAAATTACTATCGCATATTTGTATGATTAATTGATCAATATCAATTTTTCATATGTACTTTCATCGCTAATTTCGTCAATTTTTGCAATTAATACTACAATTATTTGTGTATTTTTAATTTCACGTAAAATTTTTCTCCATTGTGACATTTTTTTATACGATTCATTTGTGGACAATTCAAATTTTAACAAAACCAATTCATTAATCCATTCATTTAAGTGAATAGAGTGACGTCACTATAAACACGTGATGTATACATACAAACGTGATATATAGATGAAAAAAGGACAAGAAGGACATATACGTCGTATCTGCATGAAGTCTATTATGTTCTTGTATGATATATATATCTTTTTTATATACTAAGAGTATATTCAGGTATATTAGTAATATATGTTTTTGATAGAATTTCTTTCTCCTGACCTTATTTTTGAACTTTTCCCAAAAATTTTTAGTGTTTGTTTTGAATTTCAATGGGAATGTTCTAATTAAAAAATTAAAAATTCAGTGCTTCTGTTCTGAATAAATACGGTATTTAATAAAAGAAAAACGAAACGAAATGTTTTAAACGCGTAAGATCCCGAAAAAAGCAAAGTAATTTTTTTTTTATGATTCTATTTTGTAAATAGTTAACATGATGTGCATGATCTGTTTTTCGTCGTTATTTCGAAATGCAGAAAAGAGTAATTTTCTTAACGTGCAGATCATTTCTAGAGGTATGTTCGAGGAAGGCAGACTCATGAGCTGAGGGAAGGTTTACCTGTTGTTTTTGAAACCCTAGTAATTTCATAGATCGAAACTTAGTCGAACGTTATTATTATAACAGAAAGTTAGAACTCATTCCATCCAACGGTAAAAAAAGTCGACTTTTTATTTCGATCACAAAAGAAAGATTATGTTGTACATCGACTTTTCATTAAAACTGTCCTACTTTAATGATTTTTTTTCACTTTTCCTATTTTCTTAATTGTCTTTTCTTTATTATTCAGTAAAAAGGCAAATAAGCCATCATGCTTTTTTTTATAGATTTGCAGTTCATTATTAAGATGATTTCTCTTCATTTTCTTTTTTTTGACATATTAAACGCTGTAATGCTACATCAGCTGAGATACAGGGATAATTTGATATAAAAATAATAAATAGCAGGAAATAAACTGATACATACGACTCTCCAGTTTCATTTCTTAAATTTATTAACCACTTAACATCTAGTTTTCTATCTTTCGCAAGATACAGCTTTCATTTTTCGAGAAAAAAAGAAAGTAGATATGTATCGTAAACCTTAGAAGTCAAAATATGGTCCTTTAAGCGGATATAAACCAGAGACAGCAGGTAGATAGAACTACATAACAAAAGCAGATGACAACCATTATTCGAACAAATAATCTAACCTTCTGGGTGTGGGACCATTCTTCTACTATAATGCATTTAGTAAACAATTTTTACACTGGTCACAATAGAAATTTAGTCATCCTCCTTAAAAGCCTAGCGTGCCGCCCTGTCTTTGTTGAAGACATTTATTTTATATATGCACTAAAAATGACAAAAGTACACAAAATATGGTGAACTACTCACACTGTGTCAAACGTTTTCTAGCCCTGCACATCCTGCATCTATCCTACTTTTTGCTATAAATCTCTCATAAAAAACTTGACAATCCTACCCCTCCCTGCTTTTTGCTGTTACGAACCCTGGCATTTACAACTGTACTCAGCTTTGTTCCTGAAATTTGCATAAAAGTAAAAAACTTAAAAAAAGAATTTCTTTTCTTTTCTTAACTTTAACATGGAGCATATTGATTGATATCTTAATCCTTTATCAGTAGGTATTGTCTAGATACTCGTTAGGTAGCAATTATGTTTATCAATCAGTCAAACAAATCTGTGTTTATCAAACTATAAAACTTACAGGAAGAAGCTCTTTGAGGTATTGCTACTACTTCCGTATATATAAAAACGGTACGTGTACATATTAGGGGTGGCTCTCTACTTGTTACTCGGTGTTACTTTACCAGTAAAGTAACAAAAATTTGTTACTTGTTCCTAGTAACCACTAACAACTGCGTTACTTGTTACTAGTAAGAAACTAACACATGTGTGTTACTTTGTTATTCTTGGTAAAGTAACAAAGAACAAGTTTTTTTTTTCTTTTCTCAGAAAAACGTTTTTGAAAAGGTTTTCGTGAGGGTGAGGGTGAGAGTGGAGTTATTTCATCCTCATCCTCACAAAACCCTTTTCAAAAAGCTTTTTCTGAGAAAAGAAAAAAAAATTGTTCTAGTAACACACATGTGTTACTTTCTTGCTAGTAACAAGTAACGCAGTTGTTAGTGGTTACTAGTAACAAAGTAACAAGTTTGCATCTGTTATTACTAATTACCAGTAACAAGTAACAAAATTGTTACTAGTAATTAGTAATAACAGATTAACAGAGAATTTTGTTACTTATTACTAGTAACAGTAATGGTAAACAGCCAGCCCTAATACATACTCATTTCCAGTATTCATTTTTGCGACAAGTAACGACCTCTATGGCCTAGCCATAACGCTATTTTCAAAAATCTTTGGATCTTTCTTCTCAATATGAAATATCCTTTTCAAAAATTGCAAAGTTGCCGATAAAAATTTATGTTTTCAATTAAACGTATGACCAATGAAAACTTTACTCTTTCCTTTCCTTTGCGGGTCCATCTGTTGTGATTATCAACATAATAAGATACAACAACGACAGCCTACCACGATTATTCATTGTATCTATCTTGACCTTAAAGTTGAAGTCCTGTTTAGAATTGGGCAAAGATGCCTATTAAGAGACATCCTTCCAGTAAGGGTTCTGCGAATCGGAGATGAGCGTTACTTGTTTGTAAAAGAGTAAACAGGCTTCGATGGCCATCTTGAATATCTGATTTTTACCAGATAAACTTTCGCTATTGATGGCCAGTTTCTCTATGCTGCTTCTAGCAGTTGTTAACACCTTTCCCATCGCAATCTCACCTACTGTTTTATAGCCTTTACTAGTCTTATCCGTCATGGTGAGTTAAAAGAAGTGGAGCAATATAATATATTCAGTAAAAAAATCTTTTGACTGCAATGATCTGAAAAAGCCAATATACAAAGCAGTTTAAACGTTCGTTGTTTCAATGAATTAATGGTGATCTTTAAATACAAGTTAAGGGATAGATATTAATGTTTATATTCTATTCAGAAATTCAGTACCTTATGTTATCATCACCTTATGTTATCTCAGAACCTATTGAACGCTTAGCAAGGGGGTAAAAGCACCACTTCATTTCACTTCACTTCATCTAGGTAAAACGCTGCTGAAACGGTCGAAACAATAAAAAATCACTTCAAGTTCACTTCAAGTTAAGCGGAAGTGATGAAATGGTACTTTCCCTCCCTTGCTTCCCTCCCCCATCAGGGGCGCCGTTTCAGCAGTGAAGTGAAGTGAATTGAAATGAAGTGGTGAAGTGGTGCTTTTACCCCCTTGACGCTTAGCCTGTCTCCTCCAGACCACTAAAAGTTTAGGCGCACATGAAACGATATGGTAAAAAATTGTTTTTTATTAGTGCTAACTATTTAATACCGATACATTATTGTGAAATCAACTGAATGACTGATCATAATCCTATCCAATTTAGTCTAATTCTATATAACAGTTTACACTAGTACAGAAAACGAAAAACAACAAAAGATATATTAAATAACATAAAAATATGTAAAATTGTGTTTAGTCTATTCACTCGTTCCATTTTCTTTTAAGTTTTTCTTTTAGGCTAATGAACACGTTGGAAGTGATAGTGTCTTTTTCGTCTATTGAAACCGCTACCGCAGCAGTTCCTTTGTACACTGCTGCCTTCTTTCCTAGTAAGCGCCGAGTTGGAACATACCATGTTCCATCGACCTCATATTACAGTGGTGGCACCACTGTAATATGAGGTCGATTGCGTTCTGCCAAAACGGATGCTAACACATTCATTGAATCTGATGCCAACACTACATATAATGAAACAAAAGTTTCTTAACAATTTTTATTTATTAGAATTTAAGACATACCGACGAGTTGGATGTTGTCTCTCACAGCCTTAATGGTACTGTTGATTCCTGTCCATAAACGTCTAGCAAGCAGTGCTTGCACCACAATGAACAAAACCTGATCTGTGAAATTAGTATCGACCTCAAACAACAAATGTTACATTCCTAACTCCTGCACATGATTTAATAATAAACACAAACTGATGTAGTCATTACCTTGTGTAATCCATCCTAAAAAAAGCATTTTGTCCTCTCTTTTTTCAACCGAATATGATGTTACACTACCATAATGAAACTTTTTCACACGCGATTCCGAGCTATATTGGCAATCTATCAGAAGCACGTTCTTTCAGTCAAAACTATTATCATCACCCAATATCCAAAAAGAAATAGAAATTTGTCCTCGACTGATAGAACATAGATTTCATTATAGAGTCTGGCATATCGCAACTTAGCGCCATTTTACATAAATTGCCGCTTACTTCTACTTTAGAGCCTGATTTGTCCATAATAAACTTGTTCTTGCTCTTTTCTTTTTCTTTCTGTCAGCTAAAATTGAAAGAAGAAAAAAGTTTCATGGATAATCACAAATATGTACTCAATTTGCAGTTTATTGGTCTTCTTCTTTGATAATTTTGATTGACTCGTAATGCTAATTGTTTCTTCTTCCTCTTTTAATGCTAATGACATTTTATTAAAACTGATCGAAAATGAAAAAAAATCAACTATGTACTTAATCTAGTATGATATTGATGATGGCAATGAACTAAGATGTGTGAGAGTAACTGAGTTATTTATAGTAAATTCTGAGCAGGAAAAATGAGAGAAAAAAGTTTTTGTTTTTGAGAGATTTTTTTCGAAGAAAGCGAGATCCATGACACAAAACAATGACGTCACTTGAAAACTATTGTTCAGTGTTTGTGATCGATTATTTTCCCCAAAAACATAATGAGATAATTGCATATACACCTTTTCTGCTATATTGTTCGGTAGGATAGATGTTAAAAAGCTATCTAGCTAGAGGATAGCTAATTGTTCTGTCTGATTCAATCTCTCATCATCTAACAAGCAGTAACCAATGTGTAATTAGTCGTGCGTGATTGTTTTTATCATTTATAGAAAAGTTAAAGTGATACAAAATAAAATGATAATTCAATTAAAAGAAGTAGGTAAAAGGATATGTAAATATATGAATTTTCTTTGAACTATATGACAATAATCAATCAAAACAGCTTACACGATGATTTAGTTTCCTATTAACTAATTAAGGAAAAGAAATCTATATAATAGTGTTTTCTATTCGGGCATTCACTGAAGGAACATAATATAAATGTAATGACTAACTAAACTATTCACATAGTATAGCTACCATGTATACTCTTTTGGTAGTTAGTTGGAATTGGATGTGGTAAGCAGCTAATATTTTTAGGAAATAGTTGTCTTGTTTTACGACGTTCTTTATTATAAACTATTTCTCATTGTTACAACAGATGGTAAGGTAACATTTTGATATATAGTTGAATTCTGAAGACCGGTATATGTTTGATCAACGATAGTATCAATTGGTAACGATCATTCAACCACTTTGCGTTTTAAAGTTTCAAGTATAACCAATACTCCCAGGTCAAAAAATCAGGCCAAGATCTTATATGATCTTATAAATCTTACAGAAAATCATAGAAATGGCTTCATTTTACAAAATTTTATAAAAATCATATAAGAATCTTACGAAATCTGATAAAATCTTACTTTAAGATCTTACATCAAGAATCAGTTTCTGTTTCTTACAGAATCTTATAAATTCTTATACGAATCTTACGAAATGATTTTACACTTAAGCCAACACGACAGAAAACACTATTATATTTTTTTTCCCTTAATTAGTTAATTGATATAGAGAACTAAAGAAACACGACTTAAATCCTCAACTTTTTTAAAAGCAGCTTTTCCACTATTTTTAATTAAAGGGAACTACATCCTCGGGAATTAAATAGTGCAGCCCGATCGCAACCTACTGAATTATACTTAATTCAATAACTATTGTCTGAAACTAAACATAATATTCAAATTCACAGTATAAAGGAAATAGTCTGGTTCACCTTGTCAAAGATGTGTTAGCTTTTCTTATCCCTCAGTACTTTTACCCTTTAGCTATATTGGAGTTACGAATCCTATTCAGATGATTAACGACGTCCTGCTGAATCAAAATCATATCAATCAGTTAAAACTCAATAAAATACTTATTATTGAAACGAAAAAAACACCGAAAAACTTATACAGTACGTACAAAACGAGCATTATAAATTATAAAAAACAGTGTAATTTTTTCGACTAAACATTTCAAATAAGTTTATGTAAAAAAATATCTGATCATATTTATATTCTTAATGTTCCATATGTTCAACCAGACACAAGTCTTTTAGATCTTTCAGTAGACTATTTACAGTGTTGTTTGTGAAATTGTTAAACTGCTTTTTGTCTTTCATTTTCTGTGAGCAACAACTGACCAGTTAATAAAGCAAGTTCATGATGAACAACAATCATAATTGCTTTACCGAACTCAGACGAATTTGCAAATACGAGAACATACTCGGTTTGAACAATTGATGATGACTGTTGATTGTGGATGAAACAATAGATGTTCAGCATATTTTGTAACTTTGTTTCGCTTATAGGACTTGAGAATGGCAGAAAACGAATAAAACGCACCACAGACGATAAGTCTGAAACAAAATGTAAAAAACTAAGAGTGTACCTTTTTAAACATTTGTGTATAAGATCTATATTGATAGGAATATTTTTAAACTTTTAAGTGGTTAGAAATTGGCTCTTATTCAGCTTTCAAGGTTAAGATGACTAGTCTGATAGTAAATCAAGAGAAAAATAATTTTATTTGCTTACCAGTGAATGCTCTTGTCAATTCGTTTAACGCGATTTCGAATTGCATGAGGAGAATATACTTAAAATATCGTAGTCCAAAATAATCGTTGTTGATCGGTTTTTCATCCTCATCTATTTGGCAAACTTCATCAAATGAATCAAGCATTTTTTGAAATATTTACCACTGAGTTGTTACTAGTAGTAAAATACTAACCTCTCTCAATAAAGTTCTAACAAAATCTGAATAGAAAGAAGACTGAAATGACAATCTGATCATGTATTGATATGGCAATTGCACGAACGATACACTTTGAATATGTGTTAGGTAAAATGAAATTTATTAGGTGAATCTATTAAGTTAAATAAAGCTTTTAATTACAAAGTTTTGACGTTTTTGGTTTTTTCTGTAAAGTAGTAAGTTGTTTTAATCTTTTTTGCTCAAATGGCGGCGCTACTGTGAAGTGTAAAATGCATTTATTTTGAAAACCACTGCTTTCCAGATTACCCAACTAGCGGTATTCAAAACTAAGAACGACAAAACTGAAAAATTTCCAAGTTTTTTCTCACGAACTCGTCGCAAGCACTTGAACTTTGATGGAGTTATAGAGAGACAGTTTGAATACCGACTGCTTACCATGCTGGCAGTCTACAAATAAATCAAAAGCGTAGAAAATCTATCATCGATATTCTCTTTTTGATTGCCGGTATTTAAAAAAGATTAATTGTTTATCTTCCCGCCACTTGGTTTGCTTTCAAAACCAAAAGAGTGAGTTCGAAAAGTAGTTTCACACGAAACATATTTTCATCATGGGAAACTGTACATGTGTTACTGGATCGTATAATGGCTATTCACCACATAAATTCTCTCGGATTTCATATCGTTCTCGGAAGTGTCGGTCGCTCAAATGTCGGTCGCTCAAGTGTCGGCACTCAAACGTCACTGCTCAAATGTCGATCGCTCAGACGTCGATTAATCGTATTTAGTCATGCATAGAGATTTAAGGGAGCGTTGTTTAAAATATTTTCCCGTCGATCGACCGCTGTTCCGCTGTGTCTCTATTCCCCGATTATCGTGTACAGGATTTACTTTCCGAGGATTTACTGTTTACAGTTAAGTGGCCAGTTGGCTAATGATTGTCCTTCCTAAAGGGAATCGGAGTAATAGTCGCAAAGTTTGAGTTAATGGGAATGATTACTATTCAGTGTGTTCTGTTGCTAAATGAGTGACAAATACTGGGAATCTGAGCAATATTCACAATATTTGAGTGAATTTAAGTAGTTATCAGAGTCAAGATGTTTGTTATAAGTTATATAAAGGTCGGATAAACCATAATTATCTCACAGTTATTCGAAAATGTCTGCTAACTTCGTTGAATTTACTCGTGGTAAAAGACAACTAAATCATCTTGGCTATCGATATTGTTTTAAACGTAAAAATATAAATTCGGAATACTGGATATGTGTACAATGCAAAGCAACAGCAACAACTTATCCAGATTTATCGGTCGTCATACGTGATAATCGCACACATTTACCAGATGAATCTTGTGCAAAAATATTGGAAATTAGAAAATCGTTAAAACGTAAAAGTACTGTAGAAGTAGGTCCAATTGACTGTATAGTTGAGGGTGTCAGAAAACAGAGACCGAATCAGTTCGCGTCACGCTCTCGTTTATTAGAAGAAAGGACGGGATCTGACCATTGTCGTTTTCACTTAATGTTTTCGACAAATTGTCGAAAGTCAAATCTGATTTTCGACATTGTCGAATTTTAGGCTGTTTTTCGACTATTGTCTGAAATACCTGTAATTTCGACAATTTTCGAAAATCCACCGGCATTTCGACAAATTACTAAATATTAGTAATGTAGTTCAAGTGGCACAATATCAAAAAAATTTGTCATGATCTTCACACTTATCTAAAGAATAGATTAGAACAGAATCAGTAAACTACAGTCTTCTTGAAATAATTTACAAATGAAAATGAAATCACAAAATAAGAGTTTTGTTGTTTCAATACAGATACCACGGAGAAACCGGAAAAAAGTAGAGTTTGCATATTTTATAGCAACTGAACTTTATGCACGGTGTAGATCGATCGTTCACTCAAAGATATTTTCATTTAGTTCCCAGTTACTTTTGCTCCCATTTTTAATTTTTTTTGTTGAAAGATATCACATGAAAATATATACAATGAACAGGAGTAAGCCTTTAATTTATTTTCAACTTCAAGGTCGGAAGATATAAACTGTTATTGGAGAACTTTTCTCTCTGTCCTCTCGACTTTCCAAGTCGGTTCTTCTTGGTCGATGTGCAACAGGTTCAACTTCATTGAAATTAAATTAAAACTGTCCATTACAATTTCGGCGCTTTTAATTTGCAGAGAGGTGGGAAGGAACGCTGACTGAAAAATTATTTATGCAAATTCAAAGACGATTTTCTAACAAAATGAAAATTTAATGAGGAATTTCTAGATTCGTGAAGATTATTTATGAAAATTCAACGGCGATTTTCTAGCTTGTTGGAAATTCGATTTTCTATAAACTGGAAATTCCTCGCAGAATCCCCATAGGTACTCTTTGAAATTCGCCGAGCATTTTCCATAAATAATTTCCAACATTACAGTGTACAAGCAATTTCATCCTTGTATGTGGGCATTTTCAGATAATTTTGTATATTTTCTTTTTGATGCGGAATTTTCCTCTATGCATGTAGAACGGATATGCGTGTCTCCTGAGTCGATTAACCCCAGTAGAAAAGAGAATTAATTTTCAAGATATTTTATGACGTTGTACTCTGTTCTTTATTTAAGTAGTCAATGCAAAACAAAACCATGATTGATTCGATCAAACACTTCACCCAAAAAAAGGCATTCTTTGGTGAACTTGCTACTTGCCCCAAGCACTTGAATTTAATATCGCCATTACAGCAGTGAAAAGCATGTGTGCTTGACAACAACGGGTTTTAAGTCTGCTTTAAACAAGTTGGTATTGAAAGTTATTAAGTGAAACCTTTGTATAGAGATTTTTACTATTTCTTCATTTTATTATGTTGTCTTCTCTTTCTGAGTCAACCATATAACTAAATTTTCATACAACTTGAGCTTTTATTTAACGACCTTGGAGTGGAGGGAGACAAGAATATAATTCTTCATAAAATGCCATTGGAACGACCGTTTTTTCGAGAAGAATTACGAAAAAAGGCTGCGTTTTGGCCAATCGTTCAAACATTAGGTTTAGAATGACGAGCTCTTTCTTCTCCTTGTATTTAAAGGTAGGATGAGATTGACTAAGTTCAGTTTTTAATTATGCACGATTAAACCGTTCGGTGTTGACGAGTTTCCGTTTATAATCTCATTTTTTTGTCGACTATGTAGATATGATTAATGAAGATTCTGGTTATTCTTACGAACTATTGCGACAAGCACACGTTGATGAATGTGCAAAATTATTATCAGAACAATTTGCCAGCCATGAACCCATTACTCTGTATTTCAAAACGACAAAAGAAGACTTTTATCAGTATATTCATCCATTTGTCCAATCGTTGTTAGAAAAACAATTATTGTTTGTTGTTTTTGACAAACAAACTAATCAGATTGTCAGTTGTTTACTTTGCGGAGATTTTTATTTACAAAATCAACACACGTCATATGCCGAAGACGATGATGCAGTAGCAGATTTATTAATGGAGTCAGATCAACAATTTTTGCTTGAATTTCGAAAAGCAAATCGTTTTGAAGAGAAAAGAATTCTACGTATCTATTATGATGCAACTAAACAAGATTATTGTGGAAAAGGTAAATAAAAATTCGTATCTGTTGAACTCTAAAGCAATACGTTTATAATTGGTCACTTTTAGGAAATGAGTAAAAATACGTGAGTTTTATTATGGAACATCAAAGTTCAAAAATATATCGAGTTTCTTTTAACACATAAAGAGTTTTCGTATCTGAAGTAAAACTATAATAGTTTAGTTAAATTTCATAAAATGGTTATCACAGTAAGACACGTTGTTATATAGTTTTTCGATAACGACACTCACTTCAGTCAAAAAATGTCAGAATTCCATAAAATCTGAACTGAAAGACTAGAAGACATTTTCTATAGAATCCTAGATTGCTTGTGTAGAACTATTACATTTTGCTTTTTCTGAAATAAACTTTTACCATTATCATGCAGAAGTTTGAGAGTAAAACTCTCATATTCTTACAAACTTGCTAGAATTGAACAAATACAATAATCTTCAATATGTTTTTGATTTTAGATATCGGTTATCAAACTTAGACAATTTGCTTGCGCATATGCTCGAAAGTCTGGCGGATTTCAATATGCAATTGTTGAAACATCACATTCGGCTACCGCACATGTATACACTAAAAAAACTGCCTGGTAAAATATTTACTTCTATTGGTCCTTCAACATGGTTGTGGAAAAAGAACAATACTTATCCATTTAAAGATTATCCAAGTGAGCCGGTACCATTAGTTGTGATTAAATTATGTGATTTTATTGTTTAAAAATACAACAGTTTTATAAACAACTGTTGCTGTTTATTAATGAGAACTAAAATGAAGAATATATTTTTAGTTTCCTCAGTCTAATGGGCGATAGATGTCAGTCATTACTGAACGTTTAGCTGAAAGTTAGAAAGATTCGACCGAGTTGTAGTACTGGAGTTATTTTAGAAATTGTGAACAATGTGATGGGATACTTCTATTCAATAAAATATTAAATAGTAGCTGTTTCCCTATGCTAGTAAAAAGAATAATTAATTTTTTATCAAATTGTAAATGAATCTCAGTTGTAGGATCATTGAAAGTTGAGCTGTTTTTGATAGCAGAAGGTTTTTTCGACATGCGTCGTTCGGACGAAATCGACCTTCAAAGTCACTGTTTAGTGTCATATGATGTATTTTCTATGAAAAAAATAGTCCTAAGCAACGATGAAGTCCTTCTATGTTCAAACTTTTAACAGTAAAGCTTTTGTCCATGGAAATACTATTAATCAAGAAAGTTACTTTGTTTCTCATTCATTAAGAGTTCTAACTGAGAAATTCCATTACCATGACTCGGATTTCATATATGAAATCATTTGCAATTCCACATGACAACATAGCTCACGTGTATATCTATACTAAATTTATCCATCAACTGAATTTGCAACTGCCGCCTTTTTGCGAAACGTTCACCTAGGTGACCATCGTGGTTCAAGAACGGCCAGCGGTAAAAAGAAAGTAGATTGCATTTTGCTACACTTGTTACGACCATTGCACGCGTCGTGAATCCCAAACAGTTGAAGGTTTTGGTGTGAACCTTTTATATGTACGTCGTTTCACAAGATTGCTTATGCGATTCACATTCACAGCTTTAGCCATTGCTTTAGATTGGTGCCCAAGATAAACCTTACCGTTCAATGGATATGCCGTGCTTGAATCACAGCAACAAAATACCTGCAATTCATACTTGCCGGGCTTGCTGAGCATATACTGACAAAGCGATTCGTCATCATAGTTGCGATCCCAAGCCATTGACCACAATTCGTTGAGGTTTTTTCTTAGATCGGTGAACACCTCCAAGAATCAAGAGTCCAATAAAAGCCCATATTTCGTCGCCATCAGTATCTTTCCATTGACTGTCTTTGCCAGGATTCTGGCCATTCCATTCCTTTATGACCTTATGAGCACGTCGATTGGTTTCTCTCACCAGGAGAAGAATCATTTCATGGGTCATGATGACTTGAAAAGCTTCCCTTATTGTCTGTATGGCTGCTGCTAGTGGACCAGTGCCTTGTCGCTATCGTAGAATATTTGCCAGCAGCACTTTGCGTTTTGGAGGCTGGACTATGGTCCATCTTCGTCCCGATCGTGTCGTAAATATTTTCATTGGTGGTTGCTCCACTTGTTGTTCGTTTCTAGATCGACATCTCGGGGGTTCTTCGTCGCTACTACTTTCTGTTTCGACGCAGCTTGTATCAGACTCATCTCCTGAATCCTTCTCGACTGCTCAGTCATTCTCGGATTCGTCGGAGCTGTCTTATAGACAATTGAGAGCACTCCGATGCCGAAAACACACTTGGCTGTTTGGAGTATAAACTATAATTGCCAGTTTTCGCATACTTTCGAGATCTACGTATTTTGATTTTAAGAAATATTGTTGCTCTTTCGTTTTTTGATTTTTCGAAAAACATTTGTATCTTATGCATCTCAATTTGTATTTTCGATGTCGCAACTAGAAGAAAAGGGAGTTTTGAAAACTAGAAAACTATGGATAAAGGTAAAACTGGAGGAAATGCTTTCACGTAGAATATAATCGTGAGATAAACATACAAATAAATTGGGTTGAAATTGAAGACAAAAAGCTTTACGTATATTAGAAACAGAAAATATGGGAGAAGGATGAGAAAACTAAACTGCACATAAATGTTAAGTGTTAAAGTTATTTGAGATTCACGTAAAAAGTGTACTTAATTAAAGGTTTATGAAAGAACAACTAGCCTTGCTAATGAACAATGTTCTCTGTTCTGTGTACAAATGAATTAATCCATTAGTCCAGTTTAAAATTTTCAGTCTATTCATGAGCTGAATGTGAGAACGGCGGTTCTATTCTTCTTATGTAAATTATTTACGAATTGAAAGCTCATTATTTGCAGTGGACAGTACGTGGTGATAATAAAGAGTCAGGTAGTAAACTCAGAGGATGTACACTGCAAATTCAGTTTTCTGTTCCCTTATCTAAATACGTCTCATTTTCGCCAGTCACAATGGTATATTATCGGATTGTTAACAAGTTTTCTTTTGAGACTCATCCATTTCGCAGATTAACTAACGAGGGAGCATTTCCAAGTGATCCCCTACGATTCCAATGATTTGTATATGGATCGATAGATCTCAGTAAAGTAGTAAAGTACCCTAAAAGGATTCGGGTCCATGACTCGTGAAGACCCGGTTTTCTGGAAAACCAGTTTTTCATAAACTCCAAAAAATAATCAAAACCTTTTCTTAATGAGGCATAATTGTAGCTTGCAAATTTCTGATTAAAATGAGACAACTCCAGCTCTACATGACGTTTCTTTTCAAACTTACAGAATTTACAACTAAAGCCCTAAATGTTCATTGTCAGCTCAAAGCTACAGAAATAAGAAATTAATTTAGGGCTGTTCTTGTAAATTCTATAACTTTGCTTTTCGATACAAATCGTGATCGGTTTTATGTTTTTTTAGCCGATTCGTCGATGTCGAAAGCTCTACTCTCCAGTAGTATTTCCAGTATTATGACTCAAAGACCCAATTTGTTCTCAGTATTTTATATTTCACTTGGTAGCCCGCAAAATTCTCTATCGAATGATATGTAAAGTGGAGTAGTTAAAGATAAAATGGCTGAACAACATAAGCGATGAACGCTGTTCATGTATGCAATTCTGGAGGTCGGGGCTAGTATTTCTAGTGTTAGGATTAGGGGCTGGACCGTTACCAGTTACCGTTACTCTCCGTTACTGCAGTAACGGTAACGATTTTGTACTTCACTGTCAAACATTTTTGATCTCCCTAATCGAGAATAATATAGTTGCAGCTCTATAAAATGTATGTTAACGGTTTTGTGGCTATATTATTCCTGATTAGGGAGATCAAAAGTGTTTGACAATGAAGTACAAAATCGTTACCGTTACTTCAGTAACGCAGTAACGGAGAGTAACAGTCCATCCCCTAGTTAGGATACGTCGAGCCACTTTGTTCTGAATATTATAGAGATCATTTTGTCCAACGTAAAATTCGCTATCTAATGATATATAAAGTGGAGTGGTTAACAATAAAAGGTGGGACACCCAGACCCTAGTCATTCTCAATAGAAAGCTAGAGACTTGCGGTTTTCACATTTTAGTTCAGCTTGCTCAGCTCTATAATATGAGGTAGGTCACCTCAATGAGGCCAAAGATCGATGAAAATCGTGATCGGTTTTATGTGGCTTTAGCCGATTCGTCGATGTCGAAAGCTCCACTCTTCAGTAAGCCCAAACAAGAAACCATGTGCCGTGTATTGTCATGAAGTCTAACTATTCCGATGGGGTGCATTTCTAAGTCGTTTGTTTTGCGAAGCCAACCAGATACGATCGAAACTGATTCGACCCGTTTCGGTCTCTGTGTCACCCATTATGTTACAATTTGCGATAGAGGCGACACATTATTTTCTGGTGTGTAAGAATACTCTCTTAAAATTTCGTTAAAAACTTTTTTCTTATTATAATTCTATTAGGTTTGAAGTAGATAAATGTGCTAGCACACGTGAATAAAAGAAAGATAAAAAGAAATACAAAGTTATCATTTTTACCTGTGCACGTTTGTCCTGGTGGACGAAGAAAATTATAGATCATTAATATGAATATAAATATTCTTCTGCTTCTTTTCCTGGTATATATTGCTAATGGTGAATATTGTTGTTTTCCAGATCATGTTTCATCTTATAATATGATTGTATCACCAAATGCTCCGTCAGATGATAAAAGATACTTACCTCCTGGCATAGGCAATGGTTATCAAGCCTATAGTCGTCAGTTTCAGAGCATTGTAACAAAATTTTCTTTATTAAATTATCAAAATAATTCATCGGAATACGGCCTTTATTCACAATTCGGAAACGAACAATACTGGAATTTCTTTTATTATTTTAATAGTCCCGAAACAAGTGAGATATGCAATCGGATTCAAATTCCTAAACCGTCATATGATCCATTCTGTTTATTAAATTTGTCAAATGTTGAATATACGGGAATAGTCTTAGTTGGAAATGAAACACTACAAGTATTTCTTCAACAACAACCGCCAATCAATGATACATGGTGGATATCATCATCCTGCGTCCCAATAAGAGAAATATTTAATTATGGTGCATTAGTAACCTATTATAATCATCAATATAATCCGTCTGGTGAATACTTCAAACTTCCACATGCTTGCTCCGAGATTCATATTACCAATGATACAACAACAATTGTGACGAGCCTGAACAGAGGATCTGACTTAGTAGATCATTCCTTATTGTTGTTTATAATTATTCTTTTCTTTTCCAGGCAGCTAATGCTAGATTAGTACACGGTCGGATAGATATTATGCTTATGGAGCTGTATCTTTTCCTGGTTTGTTGTTCAAGTCGTATTTGTGAAAAAGGCTCACTTATTGTTATAAATTAAAAACGTTTTGCTGCTAAATACGAGTGTATTGAAGCTTTCAGAGAGTTTGTAGAGCTCAACACGTCGCAGACTCTTTTGGTATTCGTGAAAGTCCGCTTATCTCAAGCATCAAGAAAAGATCAATTATCGTCGAATTCATCTGGATTAGTAGATTTTTACTCGATTGCAATTATTTAGTAAAGACAGTGGAAATCTAGTAATCGGGCGATTGCTAAATTTCTACACAATGCAACTATCGATTTATCGCCGAATAATCGATCGATTAAACGTAAAGCAAAAGCCAGTGTGCATTAATATACATCATGCGATGTGCTTAGAGGATGTATGATAAAAATGACGTTTTTTTCATTCTGTATTTCTAAATTTTTATTCACACAATGTACATTTGTTTACAAGTCGAAAACGAAAAAATGTGACTCACATCGTAACGAAACGAGATGAAATCTCGAGCCTTATCTCGGCAGTGCTTTCTTTTAGAAATCAAATGTGATTGTTTCATAGCAGCTGAATAGCAATTTTTACTTATGCAATATGCCAAGCACAACGAGTACCCCCTCCTCCTGGCCACGAGCCTGCACATCCACTAAGATATGAAAAATCAACACTAACAACATGTAAAAATTGTCAAAAACCAATAAATGATACTTATCTAGTATTTTACTGGCAACTTAGTTAGTGTTTCGAAATACAAAGCCAGAATTGGCTATTTCTACTATTTACGTTTCAAAAAAGAATGCCCCTGACTATTTTTCGAATAACTTTTGATAAAAAGTAGATAAAGAGATGCGGTTTTCACTGTTCAAGAGCGAATATCTTAAGACATCATGAGAAATAAAAGTCGAACCA